TCTAGATATTCCATTAACAGTAGCCGTACTGGTGGAGGTTGTTGTTAATCGGTTTCTGTTACTACGTTATACAGTTCTAGATATTCCATTAACAGTAGCCGTACTGGTGGAGGTTGTTGTTAATCGGTTTCTGTTACTACGTTATACAGTTCTAGATATTCCATTAACAGTAGCCGTACTGGTGGAGGTTGTTGCTAACTGGTTTCTGTTCCTACGTTCTGCAGTTACAGATATTTCGCACAAAAATCAGTATATATCAATATATATTAATATAATTTGTAGAGTCGTAAAGCTAATGAAGTTTGTAGAGCAGTGTCTTAGGGAGCTTTTCTGGTGTTCTTAACTAATTATATTACGTTCACTAGAACCTAATTATATTACGTTCACTAGAACCTAAGTATATTACGTTCACTAGAACCTAATTATATTACGTTCACTAGTATATTAGGTTCACTAGAAACTAAGTATATTACATTCACTAGAACCTAAGTATATTACGTTCACTAGAACCAAAGTATATTACGTTCACTAGTATATTAGGTTCACTAGAAACTAAGTATATTACATTCACTAGAACCGAAGTATATTACGTTCACTAGAACCTAAGTATATTACGTTCACTAGAACCTAAGTATATTACGTTCATTAGAACCTCAGTATATTACGTTCACTAGAACCGAAGTATATTACGTTCACTAGAACCTGAGTATATTACATTCACTAGAACCGAAGTATATTACGTTCACTATAACCTGAGTATATTACGTTCACTAGAACCTAAGTATATTACGTTCACCAGAACCGAAGTATACTACGTTCACTAGAACCTAAGTATATTACGTTCACTAGAACCTAAGTATATTACGTTCACTAGAACCTAATTATATTACGTTCACTAGAACCAAAGTATATTACGTTCACTAGTATATTAGGTTCACTAGAAACTAAGTATATTACATTCACTAGAACCTAAGTATATTACGTTCTTCATAAAATTGATAGAAACTATTATTGTGCTTTCAAAACTAACGAAAGAGAACTGGTAATACAGTTAATAACGAAAAGGTCTATTCAACGCATAACAATGAATAATAGTGCAACAGCAACAGTTGGTATATTCTTTTTCATTCTGTGTCCCCTACCAAAGACTTACATACGTAACATAAAATGTATCAAAGATAGTAAAAGAGTTTTCTTATATGGTAAATTATGGGAATTCTACTTCCAATAGAGCCATTGTATTTAAAAAAAAACAGTTTCACATAAGCAAAAAATACGATAAAAACACATTGACAAGATTTGGTGTCATGGTGTCCGAAAATTCTGGAACCAAAGGCACTTCAACGAATTTTACAGAGTGTGTTCCACTCGCTGTCCTTGTAATTCGAAACAAGTTTGGATTAACAGCAGGATTAACTCGACCTTCTCGTGTTTGACAGAATTATCACCAGTCACGTATACGAAATTAAGAAAAGCTTCAAATCATCCAAGGTTCCAGACATTTTGGACATCCTGCATCATCAGGTAAGTCAGTGTTACATGAGAGTGGAAAAAAATTGGTATCTTTATGTTTTTGAAATCAAAATTCAAATAATTGTTTTAGGCTTAATTTATTTTTAACAGTTACTAACAATAGTTAAGTTAGGATCTCACCATATCAGACAAGAGTATAACTAGTAGGCTTATCTAAGACTTATTTTAACTTACTGACAAGGCCAGCAGCATGGGGGCGGTGATGATCCAGATGAACGACGACTCACCGTAGCCTTCCCAACACGGTGTGACCAATGTTTCACTAACACTGGCAGCCCAGGCAACAATTAGGATCAGAGGCAAGCCTAGAAGTTGTGCAAGTAATAAATCATTGAATTGAGACGTTTACATGTATAAATGCACATATTAAAGGAGTAATGAGGCGAACTTTGAAAAAGAAACACACGATAGCAGTACAAAAATCAACATGTCATTAGTTATATGCACGTCTGTGAGTCTTGTCATGAAAACGTATAATTGCTTGTGTGTATTTTGCATGTGCTACCTGTCTTTGAAAGACAGTTCTCCCCCATATTTTCAATAGATTCTATCATTTGCTGTTTTAGCCCTAACTTCACTTTAAGGTATTGGATCCGGATAGCTGAGAGGAAATGTTACCTGATGGTTATTAAATGTTACCTGATGGTTATTAAATGTTACCTGATGGTTATTTGTCGTTACTCTTAATTATAGAAAGGCAGATGTGAACGATCTGTTAATTGCAAGATAGCTTAACGTGACCATTTCGATGGCGGTACGGCTATTTCGAGGGGTAGCATCAGTATGAAAGAGGTTATATATTTTACTGTGTTTCTGAGGAGCAAATTTACAATTCGGTAATACCTTCGCTGTTACAATAGGACCAACATTTGTTGGACAATCACCGGTGTTATTCCGCTAGGATTATGAGGGACTGGACAATCACCGGTGTTATTCTGCCAGAATTGTGATGGACTGGACAATCACCGGTGTTATACTGCCAGGATTGTGATGGACTGGACAATCACCGATGTTATTCTGCCAGGATTGTGATGGACTGGACAATCACCGATGTTATACTGCCAGGATTGTGATGGACTGGACAATCACCGGTGGTATACTGCCAGGACTGTGATGGACTGGACAATCACCGGTGGTATACTGCCAGGACTGTGATGGACTGGACAATCACCGGTGGTATACTGCCAGGATTGTGATGGACTGGACAATCACCGATGCTATTCTGCCAGAATTGTGATGAACTGGACAATCACCGGTGTTATTCTGCCAGGATTGTGATGGACTGAACAATCACCGGTGTTATTCTGCCAGGATTGTGATGGACTGCTCTGATCAAATAATTAGAATGGTCATGAATTGGCCAATGAGAAGTCGTGACTTAAATGTCATGACAGTTTCAGGCACGAGACAGGATTTTCAGAATGTCGCCTGCTGATAACTCGGATTCGGAAATTGTATCAATGCCATGGCATGGAGGCCTATATTCATTATTAAACAGAAAGTGTATTAAAGTCATGATAGGGAGGCCCATATTCACTACTGAACAGAAAGTGTATTAGTGTCATGAGAAAGGAGGCCCATATTCATTATTGAACAGAAAGTGTATCAATGTCATGACAGTTAGGCTCATATTCATTATTGAACAGAAAGTGTATTAGTGTCATGAGAAGGGAGGCCCATATTCATTACTGAACAGAAAGTGTATTAATGCTATGACAGGGAGGCCCTTTTTTCACTATTGGACATCTTTTCTACCAAATGTGACTCTTTCAGGAAAGTTTATTCGACTCACTAAATTTGAGGATATTAGTTTTCCATTCGCGATATATATATATATATATACATAGTCAGTTACATTGATTCATTAACAGCGTTCAGATACTAAATTATAATTTACTTGACGTTCTATTATTCATTTCGTTCAAGAATACTTTAGCTCTAAAACTATGTCCCTTTATCTTTCTTTGGAGCAGTTTTTTTATATTACCAAACTGATAATATCAGCGTTACTAGTGAAGATAAATAATATCAATTATCTATCTAATAATATACACTTTTTGGTTGGTTAATCCGTGAGAGACTAACAGTTTTTCACATCATTAATTTTCAGGGTAATTATAATAAATAACCAAGATGCAATTGTTATATATATTCTTTTTATTAACTGAAATATTTATGTATTTAATTAAATTCCTTTAGCAATTCAGAAGATGTGTAATCCAAAACACAATGTAGTATCAATTCTAAGATCTCGTCTTGTTCCATGATCAGTGAAAGAATTGCTATGTTATGGATACTTGACATCAACAAGAAAACTTATACATAATATCATATAGTTTTTGATACTTCCTAGTGGGTTTAGTAATCTTCGAGTTTGTGGGATATCTTTTAATATCTTTTAATTTTCGTGAATGATGTGATTAGTTTAAATCTAAAAAGTGAATAACTTTGCTGACTGCCATTTACTGTTGAAAGATGTAAAACAGGATTTTAGCACACATCTTAATCTTGGAAAAGTTAAAAGATAAGAATTTTAACCAGTTAGATATGTAAAGAATAACAGAAAGTCATTAGAAGCTTTATTTCTTTATGCATAAGAAAATATTGTTTATTACATTAATTACTTTATAAACAATGCTTACATTAGAGACCGTCATATGCGTAAAAATATTTTGAAAAGAAAATCATAAACTAATGAATTGTTCTTAAAATATAGTTAACACGAAAATTTAAAAAGGCTTAAAATCATACGGAATACAAACCTAGTTCACCTGACGTAGCCAATCTTAATTATTAATAGTTTCATTACACATTTGAAATAGAATTATTTTTTCAGTAAACGTCTCATTTAAAAGAACTAACTAAACAAACAAGAAAGTAAAGCAACAACAGAAGAAAAAAAACAAGAGAATGTATTCAGTAAGGATTGATACCACGAGCACAGTGGATTCAGAATCACAACTTTTTTCTTTTTGTAAGAAATATTACAGCAAACTTAAACTACAAGATTTATCTAGGGACTTTCAAAATTACTAAAAATGACAATATAAAAGCTCTAATGGACGTTCGCTTCTAGAAAACTTATATTTTGTTAGTGATTGTGTTCGCGGTACACTGGAACACGAGTTGGAGAGTAGAAAGACGTCCCACGATACGTCTTATATGCGTCACCGCCACGTTGTAGGTAGAGTAGTCCTCAAGTAATCTGTAAATGTCAGACTACAAGAGCCGTTAATATTTCCTGATTTTACGGTTAAATAATTATGTGGTCTATTGATCTCATAAGAAACTTTTTATCGGGGTTCAGAAACTTTTCGTTTGCTACCAACATGATCAGTTTCATGATGAATGTAACAGACTATTAAGCAAATCTGCCGACTTGGTTGGATCAGGTTACTGGTTTTTTTCTCTCTTACTAAAATTTTACCAAACACCACGATCATGAAAACGTGATTATTATTATTTCTATTTTTTGTAAAAAATCGCTTGTTTTAAGTTTTCTTACATATATAGGGCACATTTTAAACAATAGAAATAAATAAAAAACAACTTTTTAAAAAGAATAATAATTATTTCTAACAGGAGAGATAAAACAATAAGAATTAACTTCGTATTATGTTGATAATAATGTGTATTGTAGAACCTTGAGTTGTTTGTATTTTTATCGAATTTCGAAACGTTCATTCATAGAGCATACAGATGTAAGTCAGTAATTCACTTGTAGCGTTGTTGTTGAAGACGAAATGTTGTAACCACAACGTTCATTCATAGAGCATACAGACCTAAATCATTAATTCACTTGTATGTAGCGTTGTTGTAGACGAGATGTTCTAACCGAAACGTTCATTCATAGAGCATACAGACCTAAATCATTAATTCACTTGTAGCGTTGTTGTTGAAGACGAAATGTTGTAACCACAACGTTCATTCATAGAGCATACAGACCTAAATCATTAATTCACTTGTATGTAGCGTTATTGTAGAAAGATGTTCTAGCCGAAACGTTCATTCCTAGAGCATACAGATCTATATCAGTAATTCACTTGTTGCGTTGTTGTTGTAGACGAGATGTTTTAATACATTCATGTACTATTCTTAAGTACTAAAACCTAAATACCTAATCTAAAACAATAACTAACACACTTCGTCATTAATTGATATCTCTACTGTTTTACTGTCTCAGAACAATAAAACAGAGACAAGTTTGGCAGAAGTTTCGTTCTCTTTTCTTATGCAAGATAGTAAGTAATATACGCCATAAATTCCTAATTACAATGGAGAATGAGTAGCATTAGTACCGGTATATAAAAAAAATCTGCATACAGAAATACAGAAACTGAGAGAGCAGCTCATTATCGATAATTACAAACTATTCTACTTAGGATTATTTTTAGCACTTACCCCAACCTATGAAGTAGTACAGTTTAAATGGGGCGTCTTGTTGAAACACACAGATAGCCGTCCGACTGTGAAGAAGTAAACCCTCGTTAAACATCCAGTTTATACACGCTAGAGCAGCATACATTTTCAATGACAGAACGGAGCGGCACAGCCATGTCTGTAGATAAGAATGAATACATATTTAATACCAGAACGGAGTAACACAGCCATGTCTGTAGATAAGAAAGTACACATCTTCAATGACAGAACGAAGCGGTACAGCCATGACTGTAGATAAACAAGTACACATTTTCAATAATAATAGAACGGAGCGGCACAGCCATGTCTGTATATAAGAAAGTATACATTTTCATTGATAGAACGGAGCAGCGCAGTCTTGTCTGTAGATAAGAAAAATGTGTAAGGCTTCAGAGACAGACGGTTGTAATATAGTAAACTACACACACAGTATTAACAGACGACGGTATGTTACAGTCAGATCTATAAACAGGTGTGGTACGTAAAACGTTAGTGTTAGGTATATGAAACGCAGGAAGAACAGCAAGTAATTTTAAATTGAGCATTTTTAAAAACAAAAATACATAATACGATTAGAATGTAAACACATGAGTCGTTGAATAGGTTGATTTACAGAAGTATTTGATACAGACAAATATGTAAATGGACAAGATGTGTAACATGTTTGTTGTCAGAAGTACGTGATATAGTTACATAAACAGAAAAGTCATGCAACAGGTTTAACAACAGGAATGTACACAGATAAAGTGTGTTACAGGTTCCGTGACAGAACAGAGTGCCTGGTTAATACAGACAAATATGTAAATAGACAAGATGTGTAACACGTTTGTTGTCAGAAGTTGTTAAACCTGTTGCATGACTTTTCTGTTTATGTAACTATATCACGTAACAGGAATGTACACAGATAAAGTGTGTTACAGGTTCCGTGACAGAACAGAGTGCCTGGTTAATACAGTCAAATATGTACACAGACAAAGTGTGCTACAGGTTTAGCCACAGGAGTGCATGGTTAATATAATTAGATCTGTACACAGATAAAGTGTGCTACAGGTTTAGCGACAGGAGCGCATGGTTAATATAACCAGATCTGTACACAGATAAAGTGTGCTACAGGTTTAGCGACAGGAGCGCATGGTTAATATAACCAGATCTGTACACAGATAAAGTGTGCTACAGGTTTAGTGACAGGAGTGCATGGTTGACACAGTCAAATATTTATACAGACAAAGTGTGTTACAGGTTTAGCGACAGGAGCGCATGGTTAATATAACCAGATCTGTACACAGATAAAGTGTGCTACAGGTTTAGTGACAGGAGTGCATGGTTGACACAGTCAAATATTTATACAGACAAAGTGTGTTACAGGTTTAGTGACAGGAGTGCATGGTTGACACAGTCAAATATTTATACAGACAAAGTGTGTTATAGGTTTAGCGACAGGAGCGCATGGTTAATATAACCAGATCTGTACACAGATAAAGTGTGCTACAGGTTTAGCGACAGGAGCGCATGGTTAATATAACCAGATCTGTACACAGATAAAGTGTGCTACAGGTTTAGCGACAGGAGCGCATGGTTAATATAACCAGATCTGTACACAGATAAAGTGTGCTACAGGTTTAGCGACAGGACTGCATGGTTGACACAGTCAAATATTTATACAGACAAAGTGTGTTACAGGTTTAGCGACAGGAGCGCATGGTTAATATAACCAGATCTGTACACAGACAAAGTGTGCTACAGGTTTAGTGACAGGAGCGCATGGTTGACACAGTCAAATATTTATACAGACAAAGTGTGTTATAGCGACAGGAGCGCATGGTTAATACATCAGATCTATATGCAGCTAAAGTGTGTAACCGGTCTAGTGACAAAATTTTTACTGATAAAAGAGCTCATGGAGGATTTTTCAGACTAGTCACAAGTCAATTTTTTTTGTTCGGATAAGGAAAATAACGACTTTTATACTTACTACTTCGCGGTACGACGGAACAAGATCGCCACCGACAACAGGAAGCGAAATAACAACCAACATGACGGAATGAATAACCAAAGCAACTACCAGGTTTTGGTGGACTCGCAGACGGGAACACTGCAAATTTCTGTAAGACAAAATCAAGTCCACTAGAAATAGTATTTGAGTGTGATATGAGAACAACAAATCAATATAATACAATATTGGTAGTATTTTCTCATTGTTATGTTTGTTTTGGATACGCAATAAAAAATAAGTAAAATAAGAAGAAACGGTTTTAACACACACACACACATACAAAATAAACTTCATTTATAGCAGTGTATGAATCAATTATAGTTTCAAGAATCTATTTTATCTTCTGTCTTAACTATAATTAAGTCATATTCTTAAATGAACTAATATTATTTTTAAAAATATGCATAAGAGAAAAGACAGAAATTTCAGTGTAGGATGGAGTACTTTATTTAAATAAATGATCAAAGTTTTAAGGCGACACCTAGCGAGTGTTTTCTTTACTAAAATAGACGAATTTCCAACAAGTGATAGGCTTATTTCTAAATGACTAAAATCAAGTCACACCAACAATCTTGACCACCTTCACCATCAATAAAAAAGTTAATACAGGTGTTATATTTGAAAATATCCAGTATTTAATAAGTTCACTGACAAGAAAACTACGAACATGTTTCATTTTATTTTATGTTTTACTTCCCCATCTCCATAGTTTTCAATTAGTTTTGATCTGTTGAGCTATGATATATATATATTTATATTTAATTGTTTATTGAGTTTATAAACAGAGAATATTTTAAAGAAGGAAGAAAAACTGAAAATTGTGATTAATAATATACGATCAAAGATATGTTGTCAGGCATACCAAGACAGTTTGAATTGCAGCTGTGTGTAGATGCTGTTGTTTGTTACTAAGCCCAAAGCTAAACAAAGGGCTATGTGTGCTCTGCCCACCACGGGTATCGAAACCCGGTTTCTAGTGGTATAAGTCCGCAGATATACCGCTGTGCCACTGGGGGGTGGGGCGCTATGTGTAGATTAAAAAACATTGTTCCGAATTGCAATTCAGCGGTTTAAGCATCTACAAAAAGTTTAACAGTATGAAACATCCGTTTCAGAATAATATTTCATATAAAACTATTCCACATCTAAAAAACTGATAAAAAAAGTACGGAAATTATGACTCGTTAAAACTTAATTTGTGCTGATGAAAAAATACACTAACCTTGCCATAATCGGAAAACGTTAGTCCTAAGCTTCAAACTCTATGAGGTTTGGGGTATATTAATGTGTAAGGAGAATTTTAACGTATTTTTCCTTTTGTTCCCTGTAGTTAAGAGCTGGTTCTGTGAAGCGTAAAACCTTTCTGAAACGTGAGTGTTTGATATATAGTTTTCGCGTAACTTCTAGTGATTACCAATCTTATCGACCAGTCTTATCTCTTCCCTTCACAACTAGATAGTTCTACTTTATATGACTATATTTAATGTCATGGAAAACAATGCATTTTAGAGTTTGTAAACCACTGAACCGACTGCAGTAACGCCACTTTCTGATGCCCAATAACACAGGCCTGCGAATTTAAATTTCATAAAAGTTGTTTTGGTTTCAATAACGGATTTTCCATAATTCAGCTACGCAGATTTCGAAAATAATATTCCTTTTTTTTTTCTATCACGTAAAGATTTTTTACAAATCGGGAAGAAGAAAAAAAAACTGTTACTTAGATCAAATTATTATTTCGTTTACCACAATGAACATTCATCATTATTATGTTTGTTAACAAAAATACAAACAAACTGAAGAAAAGGGAAGAACATTGATGTCAAACGAATATGTATCATCATTCACCCTGATTCGTGTGTGTGTGTGTGGAATCTACGTCTTTCAGTCTCAAAACTATGTCTTTCTTTTATGTATATGCGTTATGATGTTTTATGAAAAGTCTGTACATGATGGAGAAAAATGGATACCATTCTCGGATTCAGCGTACAGTAATTACTGTAGAACATGTAAATATTTGAAGATAATAAAACCATCGCGAGCCTGTGTTAATAAATGTGCAAGTGAAGATAAGTTGACCTGCTCTTTCGAGATTTGTGGTTGTTGTATATGCAGTCCTGCCTAAGGAATCAGAATGCGTAATCATAAACGATGTGGGGGGTTCTAGCGATCACAGCTCTGATACGATGTATTACCAACTACTGATCTAAATAAACTATGTTATTCTACGAGACGTGCTCTGAAGTCGATACTAATAGGTTCCTAGTGAAACCTGTCTCAGGTTCCACTGAGAATTTACTGTTCGAGATGCTCCAAGGATGCTTAGATTTAGATAAGATCTGGACTCTTGGCAGGCCATTCCAAGGCGTCGGTATTGCTACTTTGAAAGCACGCATGAGTCGCACGCGCTTTGTAGTATCATCCTGTTGTCATTATGACAAAAATGCGATGGGACTTTGCTAGTTAATTTCGGAATTTTCGCGCAAAGGTCACATAGCTGTCCTTAATTTCGAACTGATACACAAAGGTCACATAGCTGTTCTTAATTTCGAACTGATACACAAAGGTCACATAGCTGTTCTTAATTTTGAACTGATACACAAAGATATTTATGCACATAGCTGTCCTTAATTTTGAACTGATACACAAAGGTCACATAGCTGTCCTTAATTTTGAACTGATACAC